GTAATACTCCTTTTTAATCATAAGGTTACTGATGGCGGCTTAACCTCCTTCTGGTTAGATCACAAAACTCTTATAACATAACCTCGACTGTGGTTGACCACGTAGGTCACCTAGGTCCTTGTACCTTCTAACTCTAAATCTCTTACTTTCTTCCAAGATGCTTCGCCTCTCCCTTTAGCCATCCTTTGAATGGTCATATCATCGTTACTTCTTGCTTCACCCTGAAACCTCACACTACTGCTTTTGCTTCCTGTATGCATTAAAGGCATCATTGGCATCTTTCTCTAGCTTGCTAACAACTTTATAACTCCCTTCAAGAGTCATGACCTTCCCTTTGGCTTACTCGCTCACTCCTGGCTCCTAACTTAGCACTTCCTTATAGTTGCTTGAATTTGATGTTCTCGTAATATCCATTCTGCCACTCTTAGACCCTAGTTGAAACTCCTCGTACGGGTTCTCCGTCCAATAAGATTTTACCCGAGAGATTGGCAACTTTTATCAACATAGGCGATCTTGGTTTCACTTCGGGGTATCCTGACAGGTTCCCTAAACTCATATCCCTCTTACTTCCTTACTCGTGACTCTTCTTCTTGATATTACTCGCTAGTTCTAAATGACGTCCTTTATTCTCGATATAGTCATCTAGGTTCTCATATTCTCTTCTTACTAATGTACCATGATAGATAAGGTTCTCCTTTCGACTATTCCTGACGATCATGATTCCACCTTAAAACTTTACTGAAATATCTTTATGGACTTCCTATGGATCGGTTGTTCTCTACCTGGTGGTCAACCTAATGCTTCATTATTGTCTTCTGTACTCCCGCTTCTGCCCGTCTTACTATCTTCCTTGATGCATACATCGCCAGGTTGATGCCAACCATTTTTTTTCTATAACTTCCCACGGTGTTCTTCTTGCTTCTTTACTTTTACTACCACCAAACTACAACTCTTCTGTTGTTGCTTGTACTCTATTTGGTCACCAACCTCTGTTGAGCATCTTCTCGTTGTTGTTAGGGTCAAAGCTTTCAATAGAGGATTTCCCTGGGTAGGCTTTAACATACCTCATTCATGTCATTTGTCTCGATTGATGCCTGCATATGGCCTTAATCTCCTAGTCTGGGTTCTTAGTGGCTTAACTGAACGAGTCTTACTTATCCTTAACTAACCGCTTCCTCTAGATGACATCCTACTATGTCGCTCCCACTCAGAGTTGGACACCCTGGGTAAGGTAACTTAATGATTTCCTCCTTCTTGGTAATGCTTTTCCTCGTCGTACTCCACTATGCATTTCCTTGAACACGAGTCACCTACACATATTCTCAATCCTTCATTGGAACTTCCATGTGTTTCCTCCTTCTGTCACCCCTCATGTACCCTAGGCGGCTAGGTGCTCCCTCCATTCAGGATAGGACAATCCCATGACAGGTAATCACGAACTCTGCATTCCCCTTTCAACTATCCCAACGACCTCATGACCCTTCATGATCTGAGTAGTTTGTAGGGTCTCGAATATCCTCTTTCTAGCTCCGTGTTGACTTAGTATTCAACTCACGCATTGTTGAGAAGTGGTTCTCTATTCGTACTGCCATTTACTAGCTAACTGTTATTCCCTCTCACATTCCATATCTTTTCTTACCTATTGACTCCCTGCTATCTTCTACATGGCGTGCTTTAGCCTTTGGTGGTACCTTCCCCCATGTCTCATCTAACGCTGGTTGTACTGAGACCATAACTTATCCTCTACATCATTTACCTCGTTGCTTGTGTTGTTCCTTCTAACGGCTTGTCATTGGCCTAACTTCCCAGGTTCATGTTGACTCTTGTGTTGTTCCTTTCAAAAGCTTGATACCGGTCTAATTCCCCAGGGTCATGCACCCTCTTCTAGATGACATAGTTTACAAGGGTTCCTTCATCGACATATGTAAATGACCATGCCTCTCCTCCTCCTTAATCTATTGACTTCTTGACGTCCTTTTCAGACCCCCTCTAACCTACTTACTTCCTCATTTACTTCATTTACACTACCCTAGCTTCTCTTGAAGTCTAAGCTTTTCACTGCTCCTTGTCACTATGTTGTAATAACGTTGACCACTAAAACTAGCTGAGGGACTTCTCGTGGTACCTCTTCATTTCTTGACTCGCCACTTCTTAGGGTCAAGGATCTTGAAATCCTCACATCCTTATAGCCACTGACATCTAGTGACTGTAGCTCTTTCTTCGGAGATTCATAGTTCTCCTATTTGTTTGCTTTTGTTTATTAGATCCTCCCCTTGCTGCCTAGTAGTAGAATCCTCATACTACTCCTTCAACTCCTTCAATATCCTAGAGGTATTCCCTTTTAATTGGCACCTCTTTGCTGGTGTTTGGAGTTGAAGTCCTCGCACATTTGATTCTACCTCCACAGAACTTTGCAACGTTCCTCCTTCCTTCTCTAGGTTGATGATTTGCTAACGTCCGAGTAGTTGTTCACGTTTCTTTCATCCTTTCTTTCTTGCTGGCAATCCCCATATGCCTAAATCTCTCATTTGACAAACCACGACATGTTAACTAAATCGCGTCCTAGCCTATTCTTAAACAATCTCACCCTGGGCTACCATCCCTTCGTGTCGTGCTGTCATAGTTATTCACCTTAATATGATTAGAGTAGACTGGAGATTCTATAAACTCTTAAAATAAGATCCTTGACTCGTTTTCCCTTTACTTTAAAACAAAAGCCTTTAAAACTGAGACCGATATTCCAGTATTCCTTGGAGACCAAGGAACAGAGGAAAACCAGGCTCTGATACCAAAATGTAACACCCTAACCCGGCCGGGTACTACTTTTACTAAAATGCCATTGACAAATAAAGTACTCAAATCTTAAATTGCAGCGAGAAAAATTTTCATAAATAAAATACTGAAAACACACTCTTGTAGTTCATAGAAATGCCCTAACACGTGGGCAACTTAACTCAAACTTTTAAAAAATAACTCAACTTGATCTCCAGTCTATACTCATAATCATAAAACATAATAACTAATTAGTCTCAAGTGCTGCTGCTTGGGTGAAACTCTGACTAGACATCCTCTGTGACGCTGGTACTGCCCTTCTCTAGCTGCCTGCCCTCGAATTCGCTGCTCACTAAATGCTCTTCTAGCTCTTCAAACTGGTGAGTGAGATGGGGTCAGTCTACGCCCTTACGTTTTAATAATTCTCATACTTGAGTACTTTACTTAAACACTTAACTTTAACTGGTGGAAGTTGTTTTGTACTTCCAATCTTAAAACCTTAACTCTTAAACTCTGAGGGAGTTGAAGTTACTATCCTCTCTTAAAACTCAAATCTTGACTTAAATACTTGACTGACACGGGGATCCCTCACTAGCTAGTCCGGTTGCCAACTCATACGTATGAGAAGCCATTCAAGCTTTCCTTAAACTTAAACTTAGTTAGGGAAGTCGTAACGATTCATCCCCCTAACATCTTAAACTTATCGTGGTGGCTCTTCACCACGATTCTCAAGAGCATAACTGCTGCTCATCTTAAAAGTCTCAAGAGCATAACTGCTGCTCTGTCTCAAAGATCTCAAGAGCATAACTGCTGCTCTATCTGAAAATCTCAAATGGCAACGGACTTGCGCTAGTGACTAAAAACACTTAAAACGACTTCACCTTCTTGAAGGTGAGTTACTTCTTAAAGTGACTTGTTCTTAAGCTTTAATAATCACTCATAAATGTAAACTTCAAAGTAAGAGATAAACTAAAAACCTATTCTTCTAATCATAGCTAAACCAAAGCACATACTATCAAACATAATCATGCAACTCAAACATGAATCAAACACTGCACATACATCACATAAATCAATACTTGCAAATACTCGAGGCAAATATTTAAAAACCGTAAGGCGTAGAATTTACCCCCTTTACACTCACCTTATTAGCCGATCGATGAACCTCAATCATCGTGGATCCCCTGTGGCCACTTCTCTTTGGATCACCATTCCATGTTTTATTACTACTGCCATATCTAACCCAACCATAGAAGCCATTTAAACCTTATTAACATCCGCCAGGAATGGTTCCTTCCTCCTCCCATGTATAATAGTCCAAAACTGTGATATAATCATGGGGAAAACGTACTCAATGCACCATAATCTTGCACCGCATAATACTAACCTATAGGAGTTTCCAAACCTTTTATCAACGCCGCCCGGTTATGAAAATTAACAACCAGCACCGCCGCTAACCTCCTTGCTTTATCGACTTGTTTCACCCCACAAGGCATCTACGCTTGCTTTCTGCATCGAACGAGAACCAACGAAGCATCCAATTATACGTCGAGCTCCCGTATCCGTATCCAACCAATTTTTTTATTCGTGTTCTTAATGTTGTTACCCAAATCAAAATAACCCTTCTTCAAAGTCAAGGGGACATCAATCAGACAATCGCTACTTAATCCAATCCCGATCAATCATCAATATCACCATCGATTGTATTATTTCCGAGGGAACTCGATCCTTACCTCAGAGTTCGATTGGTTCCCGATGCCGCCACCGCACCGCGTCGCCTCTTCCAGTCGCTCTTCCGGCTGGCCAATTCCATCGATGTGGACAACATCAAATGATGGTGGGGCGCTCCTCTCTCTCTCGGCCCTTGCATCAGGTTAGTGAACCCGTCTTCCCTCGGCTTTGCCTTTACCTTCCGATGATAGTAAATAACTACCTAACGCATCAATGGGAATATGGGATGATGAATCGCTGCTTGGAGAATTTTGGGTTAGCTTATAATTAAAACTCCTTGTGAAACCGACTAGGGTTGGGGGGAGGAATGGGTAACGGTGGGGTGATGAGATTAATGGTGGGGGTTAAATGGGAGAAGGTAACAGGTGGAATTTGGGAAATTTTTCTATTTTTTTAATTCATTAATTATCACGTATCACCTAACCCAAACCTGAGCTGAAACAATTACCGGTCGAACCTGAACCCAAAGGTCGGGGTGTAACAGTGTCCCTCTCCACCTAGGCAGGACTGAGGGGAATTTGGGGATTTCCCTGGACCGCCGACACACCGGTGGGCATCAGCGGTGACAGCCTAATGCCGACCGGCCAGGAGGGAAGGCTCCCAAGAGCAAGGAGTTCTTGTGAAGCTCCAACATCAATCGGTCTAGAGGGACGAACCCTAAGAACAGGGCAGCCTATCACCAGAAACCCAGCAGAAGAAAGAGAAGGTAGAGGCCCTATACCTAACCGGAGATCGGAGTCCGAAAGCTGCTGATCGGGAGGATGCGCCAGATTCTTCTCTGCTGAATGCTCTGTATTTCGCTCGCTGCACAATGACTGATTTGCTAGCAGCGGAGAAGTTTTATAGGGCCGAGCCCCAGCGTTTCCCAGTATCAAACGGCATTCCTCAAGTAGAGTTGTAAAAGGATTCGGAAACTTTCGACGCGGGACACAATTTTGAAAATTAACACGGCTCTTCTTTCCGAGAATCCCGCTCAACAACACAGGGATTTCCGGAGCAGACGTAAATCGAAAATCCCTGATTTTCCGCGGCCAAACCAGTCGGTGCAGGAGGTCGGCGATTACAGCTCCGCCGTCTCTCTGTGTCCCGGCGCCATTGGGTTTGGGGGGATTCTCTTCACTCACCGTCATCCTCTTCCCCGGCGACACGCAGGGAACCACATCCCCCGGTGGATTGTAGCAAAATTCCGGGTTTTTTTCTTTTTGATTTCACAGGGACGCTCAAACCCATCCTCTGTTGTTTGCAAATTTCTCCCTGCGAACAGGGGTAGAAGCTCCCCGAAAAGGGATTAGATTGAAACAATTGCACCAGCGGATCCGGGCGTTCACACCTAGCCTCTGTTTTCTGCACACTCCTCCCCGCGAACAGGGCTAGAGCAGGGGCTTCTCCATCCAATTCTGAAGAGCTCGGAAGCCAGAAACGCCATAGCTCCTTTGGTTTCTGCCTTAGTCTTTTAGGAGGGCGCTCCTCAAGGATCTCACTTTCCGCGAAGGTTGACCACCGCGACCGTTTTGTCAAGCATCTCCGCCGTTCTCTGCGCCATTCCACTCTCCGAGAGATCTTTTCCGATCTTGGTTCCCCAACGGCAAGGAGGCCGATACAGATACCAGACCCTCCCTGAACCTGGGTAGGCGCATGAACCGGTCCAGTGAAGCCAGCATCGTTGATTTGATTGCTCCAACTTGATTCGAATATCCCGACGGCGGCCATAGAAATCCAATGCCCGACCAGCGAGCACAGGAAGAAGAGAGAGGAGAGAGCTCCTCTCGTGGGTTTTTTTTTTCAATTTAAGTTTGAATGCTAAAGTTTCAATTTAAGTTTACAGCAACAGAGGTTTTTTTTCTTCTTCGGTGAGGTGGCCGGCACCAACGAGTGGATGTAAGTGGTGATTGTTTTTATTTTTATATTACATGTTATTGTTTTAGAGTTTAAGATTGAAATAAAAAAATAAATTAAGGATATTAGAGTAAATTTAATATATTTAGGGCGACGAATAAACATTTTTAGGGCGACGAATAACAATCTCCTCTGTAAAAGGGTACTGCAAAAGAGGATAACAACAACACATTAGAACGAATTTTATGAATCCTCTTCTCTTCTTCCTTCTATCTTGGGTAAATTGCAAGTTCGGTTTACTAAAAAATTAATGTTTGATCACTAAAAACATTTAATTCGATTTGTAGTCACTAAAATTAGTTTAATAGTTCAAGTTTAGTCATTCCTCCAATCAATTTCGTTATCTTTATCATGTGTGCGGTCAACTCTAATAGTTAAATGTTAAAGGAGTGACGTATCAATTAAAAAAATAATACAAAAAAAATATTTTAAAATTTCCACCTTCATATTTCTATGTCACTTTCAACATCTTTTCCCTAATCCAGGACGACAGCAACGGCGACAGCCTAGCCTTCTTCCTCGCCCCGCAGGCTCCCGACTTTCCCATGGCTTAACCAATGCTAGTGTTGATGTGACTTGAATCCGACTATCAGCCGCTACGACTGGAAGTCACGGGGGTTCTGGGCCTGGTTGTAACCGCTTTTCTTTTACCATGTTGGATTACGGTTAGGCCTAGGAGAAGTACTACAAATACTTCTCATACTTCTCCGTAATCTGTATCTTCTCGAAGAATAGTGAAACTGACTCTCTCATGCCCATGCAGTGCAGTCAAAATCGCGCTTTAAATCGTAAAAACTTACGTTTTTACGTATCTAGGTCACTAAAACGATTCATATTCGCCCTAAAATCGTTTTGCTCACAAAATCGTTAAAATCGTATGTAAAAATGGTAAAAGCGTACAAAAACTCGTTTTTACAACGTTTTATGCGATTCCATGCACTATCCAGCAAAGTAACATTTGCACCGAAGTGACACCATTTTACTGTTATAAAATTTATATATTAAAAAACAAATGGACATACATTTTGAAAGGCGCTCGAGTATCTGAATCCCTAGTACAAAATGGAAACAACCGCAACTCCAAATCACTATCCAGTGCCTCTACCGTCACCACTCCCCAGTGCTCTCCACCACTCTACCGTCATCGGCTCTCTGCACCGCTCCACCGTCCCCAGTGCAAAATCGTTCAATTCTCTCCCCGTGGAGGTGCCTCCGCTTGTCTCTCATTCTCCACCGTCTCTACATCTACGGGGAATTTCTCCATGAACTCCAAAGATGAATCAAGAAATCGGGGCGACACATTGGTGGTGAGAACAGGGGAGGTTACGCTTGACCAAAAGGAACAGATCAAAGAAGTCTCTTGCAATGACTCATGGGGTCCGGTGAAGGATGAGATCGATTGGCGAGGGAAATTTTGAACCCGCGACGGTGAAGGGATGCTGGGTCGTTATCTGCACTAAGTCGAATCGTAAAATCGGCAAAGCTTCCTAAACCCTAAGTTTCCAATTATTTGCTGGGCTGGGCGGAACAAAGATGATTGGATTCTCTATACTTGTATTTGATTTCAAGTCCAAAACTCATTGTCCATCGTTCCTTATATGAATTATCTCATGGTTGTTTTGGGCTCTAAGATTAAATTTCTCAGAAGCCTTGGATGCTACTGTACTATTTGATTTTTGAATGATACACTCACATTTTACATTTTGAACCTAAGTTGCATGTAGTTATTTACTTATCGAAAATCTATACACTCACATTTTAGATAGCACATGTCTTACTTAACACATTTTTAACTATTTTACATGATACATTAAAATCTTACGTTTTTACGCTTCGTTTCTACGCTTTACGATTTTACCCCTTTTCTGCTTCCAGGTAGAATCGCGCTTTTGACTGCATTGTGCCCATGGACTAGCTAACACACATTGTGTTAGTGAACCACGTAAATCGTGTGTCGTGTGCTTTTTGTTTTCGTTATTTCTTGCTTTATTGAATCCTCTAGTTTCCCGATCCACAGAAAACAGTCGTGACAGCTAGCTCCATGGGACTCACCAGTGACGGACAACTACTGAACACGACGACAAACCAATTCTTCATGTTCGACATCTTGAACAATTGCTTTGATCTAGTGCCACCAGGGACTAGGGAGCCACGTCGACATCGACGTCGATTCGTTGCAAGTTGTGACGAGCGCACCTCAATTGAACGTTGAGGTGACAGGGTATGTAAGGAACGTTTCGCCCATTCGACGACTTAGCCAATGTAGTCAAAATCGCGCTTTAAAACTTACGATTTTACGTTTCTAGGTCACTAAAACGCTTCTACATAAAATCTCAGTTTTTATAACTTATTTAGTTAAAAACTCCGCTTTAAAACTTAAAATTTTACGATTTTACGCTTCTAGATTACCACAACAATTCTACGTAGAAACTCGTTTTTGACTGCATTAAGTTTAGTTACGCGGTCTATTTGAGGGATTACCTTCCCTAAGAGGTTGCTTTCAGATTTTTAGGAGCCACCCAAAACTAAAGCGCGATCACTCTTGGGATTTTGCTTCCACGTTGGAAGGAATCGCCTTTAGTGGCAATGAGAGTAACCCTAGTCCCACCGACGGGAAGAAAAAAAAGTAGAGTCGATTTGCTGGTGGGTTTGGGTGTTCGAGGGAGGGGGGGCGACCACGATGGTGCAGAGCAGTAAGAACTTGATTGCTGGCTGATGGATGAGATCCTGCAGAAAGGGACTGGGCTAAGAAAGTCTATTTTCAAGGAACTGGCAAGGACGACTAACAACTCAAGCGATTCACATAACAAGCCTGGGAAAGAAAGGTCCGGTGGGATTTATCCAGAAAAACAACAACTACGTCGCTGTGAAGAGAGTATCCAAAAGATCGAGATAGGGGATTTCATGGTGGAGGTGAAGCTCATCATCAGGTTGCAACACATGAATTTTGTTCAGCTCATTGGAAACTTTACAGTTTTATTATTTTTTAATTGACCCGTCACTAATTATGACAGTTGACCGTCACGTAGGATAAAAATAACGAAATTGAACGAAGAGTAACCAAACTTGAATTATTAAATTAACTAGTTTTGTTCCCACCCGATGGGCGGCGAGTTTCGTATGTGTGTACTTTTGCTTCTATTATCTGTAATTTCTTCCAATGTTTTCAAATTCCTTTTCATATTTATTTATTAGTGTTATCTTTTATCCGTGTTTCATCTAATATGATCCAGGTTTTAATCATGATCAACAATAATTTCAAACAACGTTGTAACTTTATCACCGCTTGGAAAATAGTATTCATGACCATCTGATCTTTGATTCACCAATCATTTTCAACTTTATAAGTTGTACGTGGTTTAAGCTAGCATATGCCACCTTACCGTACTCCTATCGAGTTTTGCTATTTAGACCATGTATATGTTAACGGAGTTTGGACATGATAATATACCATAGTCTCTAATGGTTGAACTACAGTCTCTAATTCTCTAATTCAAATCTTACGATTCATTGATGCAAAAATAATAACCAAAGGTTCTTATTTGAAAACATATATTAATGTACAACTAATAGATGTGAATGAAGGTGTATATTACACCTCGAGTATTCGCTAGCCTTTTCTACTATTATATTAAAGTACAACCAAACTATGCTCTTATGCTTCTATATTACCTTCAACATTTTATAAATGATATCAAAACAAAATGTTGTTATAGAGGCACTTTGGCTTCACTTCACATTACATCCAATATTAAATGTGTGACTGAGTGTAACGGGAATCGTTTGATAACTTAATACAAATATAAAGGCGCTCTGTTGTGCAATCAATACAATAGAAGAATTTACAGGACATCGGTGAAGGTATGATCCCGCATTGGTTTTACAGGACATCGGTCCGGGTATGTCTCGTGCTGTTATATAGGATATCGGTCAGGGTATGATCTCGTAGTGAATTTACAGGACACCAATATAGTTACTATCCGATGTGGTATACATGACATCTACTATACTATCCGAGGAGTGTATGACTTGGAAAATTAAGGAGTAAAGGGGCACTGAATCAACCTAACCATACATGTGATTGAATCCTTGTATAAAGATGGTGTGGTTAAGTGATAACTTTCTATGATGTGATATACGAAATGTGCATGTCGATGATGATGGTTATGTGATGGTTTTCTATGGTGTTTTATACAATGATTTACCATTAGATGGTGTGATGTTTTGCTATGTTGGGACAAGGTTACATGGTGATGCCAGTATGATGTGATACTTGGTGAATACATATTTATACAATGAGTTATCAAGAGACTGTTTGATGGTCCTAATGTTGTGAATATATGAATTCCTTGAGTTTGAGATGATGCATGTGTATGGGATGTGGTGATGAATGGATGTTTATTTGACTGATTGAGATACAACATATCGAGTATATCTTATGAGTGGGGTTATCCGGCGAGTATAATTGGTTACTAAACATAGTAATAGTAATGGATGGTTCTATCGTATCTTGGGTAAAATCAAATGTATGACATACCTTGAGTAGTAAGAAAATGATCTGTAGACCTTGAATTGATCGGAGTTTGGCATCAGGTACTATTCCAAAATCGTGAAAGATTAAAATATAGGTATTGATTCTATAAATCATCTCATAAGATCAATTTAATTACAAACAAAAACCGACGGTCATGATTCGTCGAAATATATGCAAAAAATTACATGCACAATCTTAGGGGTTAGGCTATATGATTTAGGTATCTAAGACCTAGGATTCACTCATCAAGGGTTAGAGTATGGTATCATGCCCAAAAATCCGATTAATTCGAGGTTTAATAGTGTGTTCCTATGAGCCGAGTTCATAGGCATTAATTAGGGTTAAAAATTAAAATAAAATCATTATACATATTCTTAGATATTAATATATATGTCTACAATACTTTCAAGAATTCAAATGCATGTAAAATGTCACAATGTTTCTACGAGTTATTACATTTTATAAAAAAATAAAAAGTAAATTATGTTAATAAAAATGAATACAACATTTTGGTTTGTTCTATTCCTTTTCCCATACAACATTGAAAATAAAACACAACATTGATAATAAAGAAACTAGATCAAGCCCCACAAAAATAAATAAAGCTCTCTTCTTATTTGCTTAAATTTTGAGTTTCTAGAATTTGTCTTCTCTACTTTTTTGTATATAGATATAGGAAAGGAAATGGTAAGGCATATTGATTTTTTTTCCTCTTTGTAGGAGAATAGGATGCGGGAGTTACATGATGCAATGATTTGTTGGGAAAGAATTGAACAACTCTAACATATTTTTGCCTATTGACGAAGAAAAGTCCAACCTATCATTTCTCCCTCTTCCCTTTTGATCTGATCCGCAGTGGGCAATTGATATTTATTCCTCGGAGATATCTTACTGCTAGCGGTTGACTGGCCGAGTTATAGTATTCTTCCCATTCTTTTCTTAATATCTTCCAAATTACGGCGGCTGGATAGTAAATTTTCCTTTTCGATTCAATGATTGTATTTCTTCTTCGTTATTCAGGTAGTTGTTTTATGGTTCTCTGTTATCTTGTATACTTTGATGTATAAATGTAACATATAATTCAAAGGGTTCGTTGCATGGACTTGGAGCATCTCTTCCCTTTTGATATGATCCGTAGTGGGCAATTGATAATTCTTCCTCAGAGATATCTGACTGCTAGCGGTTGACTGGCCGAGTTATAGTCTTTTTCCCATTCTTTTCTTAATATCTTCCAGATTACGGCGGTTGGATAGTAAATTTCCCTTTTCGATTCAATGGTTGTATTTCTTCTTCGTTATTCAGGTAGTTGTTTTATGGTTCTCTGTTATCCTGTATACTTTGATGTATACATGTAACATATAATTCAAAGGGTTCGTTGCTTGGACTTGGAGCATCTCTCCTTTGGTTGAATAATTGATCGTTTTCCTTGGAGGCCTATTGCAACTCGATTCCTTGGATGTAAGATGGAAAGCATAGTTGTGAGGGTTGTTCATTATGTTTATTATGTTCATGAGTGACATGCTACTAGCTAGCTATATGACGATGATCTGATCAAGTAAATAGTATGTAACAGGGGGTTATAAGTAGGAGGGAACATATTTGGAATTTTATAAAGGGCGCGAAGAAGAAATAAAATTGTAGTAAATGTCGATGTTTTCCCCCATATCTAGACGTTTGTAATGACATTGGTTTGTTTCCTTAGCGTGAATTTTGTCTAATTAAATTCCTAACTAAAGCTTGATTTTGGCCTGATTGTTTCATAATAACTACTATTTGGATTGATGCATCAATTCGATTCACAATGGGGACTCTGCAAGATATAATGACTTGATTTATATTGAAGTATACAACTTTTACTATTCATTTATGTTATTATTAGGTAGAAAAACATAATCCTTTTGGCGGAGTATGTAGCTCTCTACAAAATATAAATTTTGATTATATGCAGTTTAGTTTACTGAAAACATAGTTTTAATAAATTAGTGACAAACAATAGTTTTATTTGTGGTTGGTTTTGCTAGAATATTTTCAAGGTAAATTAAACGAATAAGCGGAAGATTGATAATGTGGATGCCAATGTGGTTTCTCATTCTTCCAAAATTACACGAGTAACTGATACTACACGATAATTGTGGGATCAAGATCGCGATATTCTCTATTATCATATACCAACGTACGAGAAGGGTGAGAAAATGAAAGCTCTTCACTTTTTTTTATTAATTGAAATATTTGCAAATTTTATTTTAACTTCTTTTGTGTCCTTCAAAATTTTAACTTCTTTGTCACTTTGTGTGCTAAAAAATTAATAATCTCTTAGTTTATACCTTAAATGGTGGATTTGATACATAATTATAAATCAATAAAGAAAGTACTACAGAGCTCATTTAATAGAATTAAAATTTCATAAATAAATGAAAGATATAAAAGTGTGAAACAATATATGAGATTTGATAAGTGAGATTTACAATTCAATGTATAATAGTTTAACATAATGAATCATAAATAAAATTATAATACTAGGACGGAAAGTATAATAACCAATCAAAATTTGCCGGGTATAAAGCTAGTTAGTTATAATGATTGATATACATGTTTTGTTATGATTAATAGCATCAAATATATTTTATCTTAGTGGTTGAACACTTGAAATGATGATAGGTTTAAGATTTTAGTGAAAAAGATGAAATTAAATATTTTTAGGTATCAAAGATGAATTTGTTTAGTAAACAGTTACCGAACTTGCAATTTACGCCTTCTTTCTGCTACTTCTTTCCTTCTTTCCTTCTTTCCCTGTTCCTCTTCTTCTGAATCTCCCTTCTCCTCTCCTCTACTTCTCTTTCTGTTCTACAATTAAGACCTTGATCCCAATTCCTTTCTCTGTAAACTCGCCGGAAAGATCCAGATCGGACACGACCGTTGCATTATCCCCACCGCCGCCAAAAGATGATCTCCAGCTTAGTCGCCAATCTCAGCGCAATCGCCGCCAAGTACCAACACAAGCGACTCCTGCAAACCCTAACCCATCAACAACAGCAAAACCCTCCAGCTCCCCCGTCGAACGCATTTGGGATCACTTCCCGTCCGTCGTCGCATTTGCCCGCCGGAAGCAACCCGTCTTTTGTCAACGGCGTAGCCACCAAGGATCTCCACATCGACCCACTGTCGTCACTCTCCATCCGAATCTTCCTTCCAGACACCGCCGTCTCCTCCGAGTCCGGGATCTGCCCGCGGTACAGTGGGTACTTGCCTCCTCCCGGGAAGCAGTGGCTGCGGCTGAGGAAGCTCCCAGTGGTGTTGCAGTTTCATGGCGGCGGATTTGTGAGCGGGAGCAACGAGTCAGTGGAAAATGATCTGTTCTGCCGGCGGGTGGCTAAGGCTTGGGATTCATTGGTCATCGCCGTGGGCTACAGATTGGCGCCCGAGAGCAAGTACCCTGCGGCGTTTGAGGATGGAGTGAAGGTTTTGAATTGGTTGGTAAAGCAGTCCAATTTGGGAGTTTATGGCCGATTAGGGATTAAGAGTGGCAATTACGATAGTTTTGGCGTTTCCATGGTTGAGCCTTGGTTAGCTGCTCATGGCGATCCTTCAAGGTAACTAACTAGTTAGATTCTTTGCTTGCTTTCTGAATTGTGGAATTTAGGCTCTTCGCTATTGGAAGTGATTTATATGGAATTTCAGTTAGACATTGTACACTTAGAAAGCTGCCGTAGATCTACATTTTTGTTGAATTCCTTTGCCTAATTTTGGTACTGTTATCAGAACAGGTGTGTGCTCCTTGGGGCAAGTTCAGGAGCAAATGTAGCAAACTATGTTGCCGAGAAGGCGGTGGGGGAAGGGAATCTGCTGAATCCTGTGAAGATAGTGGCACAAGTTCTGATGTACCCTTTTTTCATGGGAACCACACCACCTAATAGTGAAGCTAACTACACAACCTCGTACTTTTACGACAAGTCGATGTGTAAGATGGCATGGAAGCTGTTCCTTCCAGAGGTGGGAGAGTTCGACAACCTGGATCATCATCCAGCTGCCAATCCTCTGGTTCCTGGAAAACATTCGCCTCTAAAGCACATGCCACCAACATTGACAATTATTGCAGAGCATGATTTGATGAGGGAGAGGGCAATTGCTTACTCGGAGGAGCTACGGAGGGTCAATGTGGATGCACCGTTGCTAGAGTATAAGAACGTCAGTCATGAATTTGCCACCCTTGGCGTGCTTCTCAAAACGCCACAGGCACAAGCTTGCTTGGAGGATATCGGGATATGGGTCAAGAAGTACATATCGGTTCGTGGCAACGAGCTTTCTTATTGAGAAACATCACGAGAGCTGAGCGGGGAGGTGCATATCATGAAGAAAAGAAAGTGAGAATTAGCTAACAGAGGATCATTGATTTGCTTGTGCCACAAGGTGGAAAGAGGAAAGAATTTTCAGCCGATCAATTTAGGTTTGATTGGATAAGGGGGAAGAGCTAGATTCCCCTTTGTTATCCCATCTGCTTGTAATGTATAGGTTGGAGAAAGTTTTATCCTTTGTTTTCCCTTGTACAGTAAACAGGCTGCTTTCTTCAAACTCCTTGAATTCTGAGATGGACGGTTTTGCTAAATTGTTGTGTGCATTGTTGTTATTATATTATTTGGGGAGACCCAATTGACTAGTGTTCTTTTCACCTTGTTATGATGTGGATGTTCTGTCTTTTTATAGACCAAACAAAGTTCAGCAATTTCTATGCAGAGAGCTACTTCAATTCCGGCTTGCTCAGGGAACTTAGAGAGGAGAATTTGAATAGTCCAAAACAACCTTCCTTGTTCCAGAGATAGCAGTCAAACAAAAACAATACCTTCCCGAACGGCACGACTGAAGATGCCTTCTGCAGGATATTTTCATCATTCGTTCAACCTCTCAGGTAACTTATCCAGCTTAGCATTAGCTTGCAAGAACTATGAAACTCTAGGTGAAGACTGCTTGTGTAGTATTAGCTAGTTGCTGCGAATTTGATTTGGCATGCTCGTCAGAACTTGTACTGGATCGGTTTAGGACGGGTGGGGATGGGGCATATATGTCTTTCTTTCACCCGGCGCCTGACCTGCCCGGTTCTTGATCTGTTTTGTTTTAAGTCATCTCTATGTATAATGGTATTTCTTATACTGTGACTGCACTTAAATCCTGTTTGAGCTCTTTTAACTGACGCTGAGTCCGAATTGCCTCGATCTGTAGACTACTTTTCACTATTTTTCCGAATCCCTCCCTGTTTTCTGATTAAAAAGAGTGTTTCGTTTTGCCTCGATCTGTAGACTACTTTGACTATGTTTGTGTAATCGAATCAACTGGTAGTCCTGGAAGGTAACATCCTGCAAACGGGATGGAAAGTTGATACATTTATCAACTTCGTATTATCCTTTCCTTTGATTTCTCCATGGTTGTCAAACATGGTTGATGAGGGCTGGAAAACCTAGGAGAGGGCTGGAAAATGACTGGAATTCTATACCTGTATGTATGGCATATTGTACTATAGTATTATTATTACATCCACCTCGTAGATTGCATGCTCAAGACAAAACTTAGTGCCCGTCGCCACCAGATGATCATCACATCCAGAGGCCTTTGATAATAACATTTAGCTGATAATAAAATGTGGAGAAATTAGATCAAACACAAGGAGGGGAGAGTTTGAATTAATTAAGTTGCTTTTTAGTATTATGTTAATCATTTCCTCCTTTTGCCGGAGACATGAGAAGTGTAACAGATAATGTCTTTGTGAAAGGTATAGTCGGATGCTGATGAAAACTACACAGCTGGATCAGAAATTGACAGCTTTGAGATAATGAGGAGTTATTAGAAAATTCCCCCCTTTTTATTCATATTATTCCCTGAGGCTTTGATGGTGACAACAGGATTACTTAGATTGATCTATGCAAAAATAGCACCCTATGCCTGCTTGTACCAAGACAATCATTGTTGTCCCCCCTTCTCAAGTAGTTTTCACACTGTATTCTCATATTTAGTCCCTCAGCTATGGTTGTCTTAACGAATCGGTCCACTTGTACTATGTTGTCCAGTTCATTCGTTAAACATTCCGCCATAATAAGTTATCAACGGAGTTGAACGATAGCTAGTAAGCACTTTCTCCTTATATCACATGTGATGTATGGTATAGGAGTTCGTAGTTGGTCCCCCATCAAACTCGAAATGACGAATTTGGGAGTCTCGTCGAGAGGGAGAGGGCTTCCTCTTGGGAATTCGATTAGGAGCAAAAAGATCTAATGAATTATCATCATATGGAGCATATAAGCTTCTAGTAACAGATTTGGATTGAATTTTAATGTGACGGATAAAAGACGATAAACAAGTATAATACAGTGATGTCTTTGTTTGGAAATCATAATATGTGAATGTGTTTGCTAAAATGACCCATTAATCCAATTTTTAAATATTCCTGAACATTGCAGTTCTCGCCGGCAACAAGAACCAAAAAGATCTCCAGGAGGTGGGAGGGTGTTTAAAGTCTATATATTCTGAAAAGCAGCAGAGCTTGACCTCCAGGGGGTTCAGGAAAAAAGAAAACCAGTACCATTATTACTGTGTTTGATATTCTTTTCCAGGAAGAGATAAAAACCAGGAAATGGTTGCTGCAGATCCTTACATATCATCCAACTTCCCTAATGAAGGAGGAGGAGGAGGAGGAGGTGGTGGTGGTGGTGTCAATTCAAGCGATCTCGACCTCAATCTCTGTCAATTCCCATACTATCCAGCATTCCAGGAGAAACGCGGGCCAGATTACACCTTAGACGAGCCAAGAACTCAGAAGAGGCTGAAGCAGCAAGCTGATGATGGTGGATCCCCAACCGAGACCAACTCTGGCGGGTTCTATGAGGCTAACAGCAGCAGCAACAGCAACAGTAGCTTCAACAGCTTGCCAAAGCTCCAGTTCCGAGACTATGTGTGGGCGTATGCGGAGAGGTTCCTGGCGATCGAGGCCATGGAGGAAGCTGATGCAGTGACACTAGCAGTGGAAGAAGAAGAGAGAGTTGAGGTTAAAGAAGAGACAGGCGTTGACGGGATGAAGCTCGTCCAGCAGCTGATCGCCTGTGCGGAAGCCGTCGCATGTCGTGACAAGGCTCACGCGTCCGCGCTGCTCTCCGAGCTGCGAGCCAACGCACTTGTATTCGGGACCTCGTTTCAGCGCGTTGCGTCCTGTTTCGTCCAGGGGCTGTCCGACCGCCTAACGCTGGTCCAGCCCCTGGGGACCCATGGGGTCCTAAGTTCTGCACCTGCCAGGGACTTCACTTCGTCCTTTTCGACCGAAAAGGACGAGGCTTTGACCCTGGCCTACGAGCTTTGCCCGCAGATCCAATTTGGACATTTCGTGGCAAATGCATCGATCCTCGAAGCCCTTGAGGGAGAGAGTTCAATTCACGTTGTGGACCTTGGGATGACACTAGGCCTCCCTTGCGGCCAGCAATGGCAGAATCTGATGCACAGCATTGCTGGACGCATCAGAAAGTCCTCCGCCGCCCCACGTCTGCGAATCACGGGCGTGGGGCCTGAATCCGATCGTTTGCAGGCGATCGGACTCGAGCTCAGTTGCTATGCTGCCAACCTGGGGCTGAATTTCGAGTTCATGTACATCAGGAGCAGTTTAGAGAGTCTGAAGCCGGAAGATTTCGACGTCCAGGAAGGGGAAGCCGTGGTGATCAACAGCGTCCTTCAGATGCACTGCGTTGTGAAGGAGAGCCGTGGGGCTCTGAACTCGGTCCTTCAGGTCCTGAACGAGCTGTCGCCCAAGGCGTTCATCCTGGTCGAGCAGGACTCGAACCACAACGGTCCCTTCTTCCTGGGGAGGTTCATGGAATCACTGCATTACTACTCGGCCATCTTCGATTCGCTGGACTCGATGCTGCCCAAGTACGACACCAGGAGGGCGAAGATCGAGCAGTTTTACTTCGCGGACGAGATCAAGAACATTGTGAGCTGCGAGGGGCCGGCTAGAGTCGAGAGGCACGAGAGGTCGGATCAGTGGCGCAGAAGGATGAGCCGGGCCGGGTTCCAGGCTTCGCCGTTGAAGATGTTGGCTCAGGCTAAGCAGTGGCTTGGCAAGGCCAAGTTCTGTGACGGGTATACTGCGACCGAGGAGAAAGGTTGCTTGGTTCTTGGTTGGCAATCTAGGCCCATCATTGCAGCTTCTTGCTGGAGGTGTTCCAAGATTTAAAAAGAAAAGTTCAGGTTTTGTTAATTGATTTCTAATAAAAATCACCACCAAAGATTCTGATCAGAATCCCCCCACTCTGCAATTTGTTTACTTTTGTGAAATAAGGGTTTTTGCTGTTTGTGATTCCTGATAAACCAGGGAATCTTAAAGCTTGGGACTTTTTCCCTGGGAATAATTGTTTTGATTTTCTGCGTTCTTGTTTCTTTTGTATTACCTCTGTTCCTATTTAGCATGGAAAGAAGAAATCTTTTCTTCCCCTGGTGGAAAAAGAAGTATTTTTTATTGGCCTTGGGGATTAGCAGGAACTGTGAATTTCTAATTTCATTAATGAAATGAAGCTTTGACTTTAAATTTTCCAGTTTTGGCAGCTGTAAGAGATTAAGCTGGAGGCCAGAGAAGCTGCCACGTGTATGGTGGATATATAGACTCTCTGTTCTTTTCCTTGTCCGGATAAGATTGCTTTGTACTCTGTTTGGGAAGAACCAAGTTCAGTTAGGATTCAGGACAGAGGGAAGAAGAGGGAAAAGGTCCAAACTTTGTAGCAAATTCACAGTAGATATGGAAGTGGGTATGTCACTAAATGCGCTGGTGAGGCTGCCATTATCGAGTTCGTCGAGAACTCAGGAAGATGGATTGGTGAAGCACTCGTTTTTCTCACCGCAGAGATGCAGGGGGACCCGACGTGGCAGTTCTTTGTTAATGGTTGAAGCTAAGGGGAAGAGAGGTATGGCGAATCGCCAGTTTCAGCAGAGACCTCCTCCGTTGCCGAAGATTGAAGATGATGGGAATCCCAAGTTCGTCATCTTCATCCGCATGGCCAATGTAATGTTTGTTCCCTTTTCCACTCGCTCCCCTTTTTTGCTAGTTGTAAAAAGTTCAAAACTTCACTCGGTAGAGGAATTGAGTCCCTTTGCAGTTCTGTTCAATCTGAATTTCATCAGTTCATATCATAATGATTACGGCGGGATTTGGTTCATAATTTCAGTTCGGTGTAGTTCATTTAGTGCGATTGCTCATTTTATTTCGCTCTTCTCTCTTTGTATGCGTTTCCAGAATCCAATTCGACCGCCTATCCCGCAGTTATAGATAATTGCAGGTTGAGTTCTGCAGACTCTGTAGAAGTTAGGACTTAGAACGGATGGTGTTTCTAATCTTCTCCTGCATTTTGTGGATGGGACTGCGTCTAGGATTTCCTTAACATCCATTGCTTTAAGTTAATTTTAGCTATAAGGCTGAGTGTTTATATTGAGACTGTTGTTTACTTATTCCCCCAGGTTTACATTTGGTACCCGCTTAGCCTAATAACAGGAGGTACCACAGCTAAAATCATGGTTGCTGCCAAGGACAACTTTTTGGGCAAGTACATCTACAAAGACACACTTGCTCGAAACATCGCCGCGGTTATCTATCGGGTAAGTTGGTTGATAGCATCTTCTTTCCTTGTAACTTGCTGAAAGATGCCTGGCCTGCATCTCGGACATGGAGTCCTATGTAGTATTATACTAATTCAATCATCATCGTGTTGTTTGGCTTTCTTAGTAATAATTAGTCTCTGAATTAGCCAGCATAGTATTCCAACTTTGGGGAGCAGTTCCATGCTTTGTTTTCTCCTTCCAGTTTGATGTCACTTTGGAACCACTCTGAAAACAATGTTGCTGTCCTTCGCATCATTCATTCTGTGCTAAGTTTGGATCCAAACAAGGAATGCCATTAGTTTGACATGTTTTGGCCAAAAGCATATGGATAAATGAATATCAGCCTCTTCTGCCGTCTTCTGAAAGATCTTTCATCCTTGTGTTGTTCTGCTTCCAACATTGGATAAGATTATTGGCTGAGAGTCGGCTGATTCTTGTTTCGAGATATGGTACTGACTTGGCAAGTTTTGTGTTAAAAATTAGGATGAGAAGGAAATAAAGAAGACTGCAATCAAGCAACATCGTGTGTTACGATCAGCAACCGAGTTCAGATATGGTTACAAGCTCATTGTAATCCTCCCCTTCCTTCCTTACCATCCATAGAACCTTGAAATCCTTTTCAGGCCCTTTTTTTTGCCACACTTTTATACTTGATGACATTCTGCAGGAGAATGGCAACGTAAGAGCTGGTCTTGCAACGAATGATGTTATTGAGGTACGTCTGCTAATTATACTTTTGGGGCTAGAGAACTCGTCTCAATTCTTCGGGGATATAATCCTTGCCTTTGCCTTATGTGATATGTTGTGTATTTACATCATGATTTTTCCAGCTTCCGACCCCAGACAAACTCAAAACAGTGGTCGACAAAGTGAAAGACTTCTTTGGGGACGCGAAGGAATCATTCGGGAAGCTTACGACGCTAAACTCGACTGAAGACGAGGAAGCGCGACCAGAAGTTACGAAAGGAGAGGAGAAAGCAAAGTGAGTGTATTTTCATCCAAATCTTCGTTGATTTGTCACATTTGGAAGTCCACAAATTTCTCTGTAAGTTTGTCACTTCCTGAATGTGCAGAATTAAAGGCTGAAAACCCTAGCGAGAAGTCAGCGCTGAACTTTGAACCGTTTCTGATCACTAGTTCATTGCTTCCTCGAGATTGGGAAGAGGCTTTTAAGCAGGAGATCTATGGTGCCATGGTGAGGTTATTCGATAACACATCAAGTCTTGCTGTATGATTTTGGCCATTGCGTGTCTATAACTTGTCAACCTGTTACACATTCCAATCTAGTCTTTTTATGCACACATAGCATGGAATGGAATTGAAACATGGTTTTACTGATCTTTCAGAATCTCTGCAAGAACCTTAGTTTTTAACATGATAGTCCAATACCAAATTCGAACGATTGATTCGCAATCGAGCATTTACCTAGCATAACATGACTTATATTCTGTTCTCGAAAATGACACCCTTTCGGGATACGTAACCTAAGTATTACCTTTCCCCTTGAACTCGTATCCCTCCCTAGACGTCGGCACGAGAATGAGCTTAGTCTTCTTCCTTGTAGCAAGCCCGAAAATCTCCCCTAGATCAACGTCCTCACCCCCGACGCCATCAGAGAGCGCCCAATCGAAGTGGTACAGTAGCCTTGCCAGCGCAATCTCGACGGTAGCCAGCCCGAAATGGAACCCCGGGCACCCTCTTCTCCCTCCACCAAATGGCAAGAACCTAAACTCCTGGTCATGGAAATCGATCCCACTCTCCAAAAACCTTTCGGGGTTGTACTCGAGCGGGTTCTTCCACAGCGTCGGATCCCTGCTGATTGCGTAGCTATTGATGAGAACTCGCGTCCTGGCCGGTATCATGTACCCATCCATAACACAGTCCTCCATGGACTCTCGAGGGACGAGAAGAGGGACGGGAGGGTGCAGTCGCATCGCCTCTTTGATCACGGATTTCGTGTAGGTCATGTGCTGCAGATGACTTTCGTCGACTCGGCTCTGCTTCCCTACAACTCTTCTGATCTCTTGTGTAGCTTTGGCAAGGATTGTCGGATGCCTTGCTAGCTCGCTCATCGTCCATTCCAGCGTTGCGGAGGATGTGTCTGTTCCAGCTACAAACATGTCCTGTCACAATTCCCACATAGAATTAGTCATTGCTGGTATCCAATAGCAGTCATTATCTAATCAAAACCTATGTATCAATCAACTCAAGGACAAAAGAAAAGTAACATGTATTTTGGTACTTTGTTGATGGGTAGGCCTTAGCACGTGTTGAATGGTCATGAAATATCACCGCATTAATTAGTTGATTTAATTTTAATTTTTTAAAATATAAAAGTCTAACATGGAAATTACTATTCATTAGTGGCTCTCACACTCCTCCAAGTGCAAGTGGGGAAGTTCAAAGTCATTCTTTTACGCCACTATCCATTCTACAACTTTTGTGTATAGTTATTGTTCGCTAATAGGAAGCTAGGGTTGTGATGACTTTTTATTAGATGAGTTGACCTAGTGTAAAATCAAAACAAGGGTATAATTGTCATTATGAAAAATATGTTTAAATAATAATAAAAAAAAATAAAAATATTTTTTTATTTTCGGCCCAAAATTTTGGTCGTCGAAATTCTGCCACCGGTCGCCGAAAAATGCTCGCTGGTCACCGGAATATGCTTTTTGTCGCCGGAATATGCTATTTTTATCATCGGAATATGGCACCGTCGCCGGAATATGCTCACCGCGGTCGGAATATGCTTACCGGTGTAGGAATCTAGTCATCGGGGCCGGAATATGCCTATCGGCATCGGAATCTACTGACGGTCATCGGAGTTCGGTCAACGAACTTCGTTGGCCGGTCAACGGTCAACGACCACCGGATGTATGGTCTACATTGTGAGATTTATGGTTTGGTTTCTCATATTTTCGTATGCCTTTTGTGGTTTGCTTTATCGTGTTTGTGGTTTGCATTGAGAAGTTTCTGGTTTGTTTTATCGTGTTTGTGGTTTGCATTGAGAAGTTTCAGGTTTGCTTTCAAAAATTTTGTGGTTTGCATTGAGGGGTTTTTGGTTTGTTTTAATATATTTGTGGTCTGCATTAGGACGTTTATGGTTTGCTTTTTTGTGGTTTGATTTACTGTGTTTGTGGTTTGTATTAGGAGGTTTCTGGTGTGCTTCGCAAATGTTGTGGTTTGCTTTGTGAGGTTTGTGGTTTGTTTTAGGAGATTTGTGGTATGCATTAGGAGGTTTCTAGTTTGCATTAAGAAGCAACTGGTGTGCTTTCGAAACTTTTGTAGTTTGCTTTGCGAGGTTTCTGGTTTGTTTTAATATATTTGTGGTCTGCATTAGAACGTTTTTTTGTTTGCTTTACCTTGTTTGTGGTTTGCATTTAGAATAATGTATGGTTTGTTTTCGGAATGCAAACCACAAACACTTTTATTATTGTCTTCTACATGTAGCTTCTGTAAATGTGCAAGAGAGATGATGCCATAAAGATACAAATAAGAGGCCATTATTAGTGTCTTCTATATGTAATTCTGAACATATAATGTATATCCTTGTCGTTTCTTAGGCTGCTTATACATATAAATGGCATCGGCGGCGGGATCTTCATGATCGTCAGCTTATAGAAGTTTGGACTGGTAATTTTAGAGAGAGAGAGAGAGAGCGAGAGTACTATTGTTGAAGAAATGGAAGCAGGAGGAAGAATGGAATTCGAGGATCAACCAGAGCTTCACCAAGAAGAAGACGAAGAGGAAGAAGAACATGAAGACGAAGAAGAGGCCGATGAAATGGAGAGGTTAGGTCCGACGGGGGCGACTCACGATTTGGTAGGAAATAACAACATTAATGCTATTGATAGTCCCTCCAGCTCCCGACCAAAAACAAGCACCGCTACCGGCGCACATCAACAAACGTCGGCGGCAGCGGCGGGGACACCGACGAGGAGCAAATACAGAGAGGGCCTCGAGCGGGGTTTTCGAGCTGATGTGGCGCGCCACCTCGTCCTCGGCGGGGGAGATGTAGACGGCGGTGGCGAGGAACCAAGCGATGGTGGTGTCGAATGCGTACTTGAGCATGCCGAGCTCGTCGGCAAGGGGGAAAGTTTCGGTGCCAAAGATGTCGACGACGAGGGCGGTGGGCGGGGTGGGCAGGGCGGAGATTGCGGAGCGGAGGTTGGGGATGGAGTGGCGCATCATGGCGAGGAGCTTGGTGACGATGTGGTCGGAGGGCTGGACGTGGTGCGAGAAGTCAGCGGCCGGGAGGGGAACGATGGAGATGTTGGTGATGGTTGCGGGGCAGGATTTGAGGAGGGAGTAGGTGGCGGCGGTCGTCGGTGGCGACGACGAAGATTGGTGTCTCCGCCTCCGTCGCGGGCATTTTGGGGGAGAGAGGGCCTGAGATGGCGACGATGAGATCTGAATGGGAGAGAGGGTGAAATAATTTTTTTTATTATGTTTATTGTCATTTACAGTTATGCCCTTGTTGTTATAATTCTAGTTAAAATAAAAGGGGTGTTGTTATTCTATCCTGTCCCCTTGTTTGCTAGGTTTTCATCTATGATTTTTTTGCATAAATCATCGCATTTGCCCACCATTTTGCAGCCCATCTCGAAATACTGTTGGCAGGATTCTAAATTGTTCCCCACCATCGTTTCCCAAGGCAGCTACCACAAGTTTTGTATCATGACCGAGTTTCAACCTCGTTAGTGTTTTTCTTTTTCCTTTTTGTTGAGCATGATCACAATTGAACCCAATGTCGCTATCGAAAATCCATACTATATTTACTCAATGTTGGCGAGTTTTGTATCGGGACCGAGTTTCGTTCACTTTAGTGTTTTTTTCTTTCACTTTTTCCTTTTTGTTGAGCATGATCACAATTGGACCCAAAATCCATGGGTATCCAACCTAATTCGATCCGATCAAAGGGACTTGAAACGTACTTTAGCATTCATAAATTTCTCTATTTTTCTTCTTTTGGTTGGGTTGACAATTGAACCCGAATCTAAGGTTTTGATGAGTGTTGTATTGTGAGCGAGTTTTATCCGCTTTTGTAGTTGGCATGTTGGACCAAGTGTTAATTTGTTAAAAAATTGCTCAAAGTGAGTTGAACACATTGTTGACCAGTTTTAGAGCGAAAGTGAGTTTTGTACGCTTTAATGTTTTTTTATTTCTCTTTTTCCTCTTCGTTGAGAATGACAATGGAACTTTAACCCATTGTTGACACATTTCGTATTGAGAGCGAGTTTTATCTACGTTTGTAATTGACAGGTTGCGTAAATTGTGAATTTGTTACAACTGGGTCGACCCGGTCAAAGCTAGTTTAACGCAGAGTTGAGAGTTTGGGGTCATGAGGGAGTTTTATTCATTTTAGTTTTTTTTTATCTTTAGGTTGAGAATGACAATTGAGTTCAAACGCATGGGTATACAACCGAATTCGACCCGACCAAAGCAACTTGACCCGATTTTACAGGTTTTCGGCGGTAGCGAGTTTTATCCGTTTTTGTAATTGGCATGTTGTGTCAGGTGTGAATTTGTCCAAAACTCGGTCCAACCAGGTCAAAGTGAGTTGAACATGGTGTTGACGAGTTTTGAGTCGGTTGCGAGTTTTAGATTTAGTGTTTTTCATTTTGCCTTTTCCCTTTTGTTTGAGAAAGACAATTGAACCCAAATCCATGGGTATCCAACCTAATTTGATCCGATCAATGCGAGTTGAACCTACTCAAACCTGCAATCAGTCCAAAAATTTCATAAAGGAGAACCACGATTACCTCAAACCAAAAGAGTACGACTATGTTTGGCTCGAATTTTAGAAGTTTTATGTTTCCAATGTTGAAGCCAAGCCAAACACCTCTAAAGTTTCGCTTTTAAAAAACTGAAGTTTTTCGTAACTTGGAAGCAGAAGTTCCGATTTGAAAATACAAAATTGTACTTACCATATATTATTCTTTTTCTAGAAAAAATAATTTTCTTTCATTTATATCATTATAAAAAATAAATTAAAAATAGTATTATTTAATATGAATAAATCTAACGTGATATATTTTAAATATTTTTTTATTTTTAGAATTTGCATTCATATTTTATGATAGAAATCGTTTTAGTCATTTTACATTACCTCTTATATTAGAAAGTAATTATGATAGTTTTTCAGCTAAGCACTCAACAGTTTTTTTTTAATACTTCTTGAAAAGATCCAGAGAACTTGCTTCATTCTCCAAAAATTACAAAATGATCAATTACTAGTCATACAAATTGAAACATTAGCGTCATGAAAGAAGTTTAAACATAAATAATCTATTTGACGACCCTTCTACCTTATAAAAGTTCATCGACTATATGCTATTGTAAATAACAAACCTATGATAAGAATGAAATAAGATTACTTTCACTTATGGGTCAACATTAAAACTATTACTCTTTAAAATATTTATTTTTCTAATACGCGAAGCGATAGCGAGCGGGCTTTTGCTAGTAATAATAATTCATATATAAAAGCCTAACATTAAGGTTACTATTCATTAGTAGCCCCCAAACTTCTCCAAGTGCAAATGGGCAACCTTTATGTGTTTGTTTTTCTTCACTCACATATCATTCTCCTAAGTCCTAAGTCTCTAAAATTTGGAGAACCTCCTATTACCCCACTCTCTCATTTCATACCATTTGTTTCAACTTTTGTCCATTAGGTTTGCACAATCTAATGTCCATTTACTCAAATCTCTCTCAAGTGTCTTCTTTTACCCAACTCTTCTTTTGCTAGTAATAATCTAATGTGCATTTGTTAGATCGACCCGGTCAAAGCGAGTTAAACACCGTGTTCATGAGTTTTGGATCGATGACGAGGTTTGCCCGCTTTAATGTTTTTTACTTCTCTTTTTCCGTTTTTTTGTTGAGAATGACAATTGAACCCAGATCCGATGCTGAAGAGTTTTGTATTGAGAGTGAGTTTTATCTGCTTTTATTATTGACATGTTTGGTCGAGTGTGAATTCTTTAAAAACTTGGTTTAACCCAATCAAAGCGAGTTGAACTCAACGTCGAGAGTATTTGGTAGGGAGTGAGTTTTATTTGCTTTAGTGTGTTTATTTATTTTTTCCCTTTGGTTGAGAATGACAATCGAACTCAAACCAAGGTATCCAATCTAATTCATCTGATCAAAATGACCTGAACTCAATATTTACAAGTTTTTGACCGGGAGTGAGTTTCATTCGCTTTTTTAATTGGCTTGTTGGGTCAAGTGAATTTTGTTAAAAAATTGGTTCAATCCGATCAAAGCGTGTTGAACCTGTTGTTGCCGAGTTTTGGCTCGTAAGCGAGTTTCATCCGCTTTAGTGTTCGTTAATTTTTCCCCTTTTGATTGAGAATGCTAATTGAATCTAAATTCATGGGTATTCAACCTAATTCGGCCCGTTCAACACGAGTTGAACCTCCTCAAACTTGTGATCGGCCCTGAAATTCTATAAAAAAAGAGAATCAAGATTAACTTAATAAAAAGGGTTAATACCTTAGTTTGGCCCGAAGTTTAGCGTAAGTGACAGTTTTGGCCTCATTTTTCAAATAAGACATTTATGGCCTACTTTTGAAACTATTAGCCAAATTTGGCCCAAAATTTTCTTTGACCGTTAATATTGACGGTAAAAACTATTCCGTTAGTGACTAAGCAAAAAACCACTGATGTGACATGCCATGTCATTAAATAGTATTATTTTAATTTTATAGTTCAATTGAAATAAAAATTATCAAATTAAAAAAATCTCTTATTATCACAAAATTCCCAAATGGAGGAGACCAACAAAAAAAAAATTCCCAAATGGAGGCAGGCGCTTCCAAAAACTAAGCAAAGGAAAAAATTTATGTAATTAATGTTCCAAAATAATCTCCATGATTCGTTCCCCGCATTCCAAATTTCCAATTTCTTTTTGTCACCAGTGGATTCCTTTTCAATCCCCGACAGCAGGCACCGACCGGACCAAATGTTTTAGTCTCGGCGTCGACCCCAGTATAAATCGATTTCAATGTTTTAGAAATATATATACATACAGATAACTGTCGTCGAATGTTTTTTTATTTATTTTAGTGTTTGAATTTGGGGATTTTGGGATAATAAGTGAAAATTTCATAATTTTTTAATTTAATTGAATTATAAAATTAAAATAATATTATTTAATGAGGTGGCATGCCACATCAATGTTTTTTTTTTTCTTAGTCACTAACGGAATAGTGTTTGACCGTCAATATTAACGGTCAAAGAAAATTTTGGGTCAAATTTGTCCAGTAGATTCAAAAGTAGACCATAAATGTCTTATTTGAAAAATGAGGCCAAAACTGTCACTTACGCTAAACTTCGGGCCAAACTAGGGTATTAACCCTAATAAAAACAAAGCAAAAATAGTACAAACTAGACGACATCTTCATGAGAGATCGAAGTTTAAAAATATAAATTATTTGTTCGACGGCCCTTCTCTCATGAAAGTTTATCGCTTATCCGACCACATGGTGTTGTAGATGACAAATTCATGAAAAGAAAGATTAAGAATGAAATAAAATCCCTCTACTTTTAAATCAATATTATTTAAACTATTACTTTACAAAATATCATGTTGTCACCTACATGCGAAAGAAGCAACCGTCAAAATCCTACTCGGTGGGGCAATTTGTGCCTTGTGGAACTGTTCTTTCCATGAAGAAAGAGTCGTGCAATTAATTGGATTATGAGGTTATTTGGTTGGACGTTTCTGCTGCATGCTCTGCTGAACATGCAGCCGCTCCACGTTTCTTCAGACTTGTTTTTTTCTTCTTCTTTTTCTTTTCTTCTTCCTCTGTTTCTCTCCCAACTCCCAAGTCCTATCTATGCCTTCATAAATGTGAGTAGCTAGCTAGTCATTCAACCAAAAGGAATTTCCTCCTTCTGTACCCCTAAAGACGCCAACCAACCAACAAACAAATGTAAGAACCCTAGGTTGACGATTTTAATGCAACAGTATCCTACACATTTTGACTTCTGTATTCTCGGGATTAACGTTTGACGTGGGGAGGTTCTGTTCTCTTGTGAACCTTCCTGGAACCAAAAAACCTATGAAGAAAATAATAAATTGAGAGTAGATGAGATAACGATTTACGTTATTTTCCCGTTCGATGTGAACAAGACTAGTCAGTTTATGAAGAGATATATCTATCCGCTTATCAAGATAATAGCAAATACAATGACGTTACACCATATATATATAGGTGTCGTACTACCATGTACTAGCAATATCTAGTTAGGGTTAAAGTTATAAAACTGAGCATTTAAGTCCAAAACAACGCAGATTAGGTGGCACGGTTTGGTTTCACGTGTCACAGTCACAACTGTGACTATTCTATCTTAACCGTAACTTTGAGTTCAACTCGCCCAATAATTTACCCGATTAACATCGTCGGATTATTCCGTTTCATGATTAGCTGTTAGATGTAGGTGCGATACTAACGTTAATGCACATATTGTAAGGATTACGAGCCATGCATACAATCAATGGCGGATACATGGACATTTAGGGGTGTCCCGGGACACCCCTTAAATTTGGAAGAACGATTATCCAACCCCCGGCTGTAGTTTCGTAAGGAGAAAAAATTATAATTGGTAATCCTGGACACCCTTAAATTTGAAAAAAATGATTATACTACTCTCGATAGTAGTTTGTGTAAGATTAAAAAATTATAAATGGTAGTTTGTGCTATTCAAACTTAGGACACTACTATTATTAAACATATTCTTTAGGTTGCAACTCATTTCTTGTTCTATTTAAACACTAAGAAATAGTAAAAACATTATTGCTTATCCCCAACTATTTTCAAGACCTAACAACTAAACTAGTTGTGGGTTATCCTTAATTTGAATTGATTTGATAGTTACACAACAAGAGTTAAAAGAGTCTTTCAACTTTGAGATACATAAAGAACAAGGTTAGAATTCGAATATGAGATCAGTTCGTATATTATTGTCTAGTATGATATATAGATTTGTTGAGCAGTGAAGACGTCGAGTATATTTTATATTCTTTTTCAGAATATGAAAATACGTCGTGACCTTTTGTTAAAATTTGTACTAGTCATGTATTTTCTTATTTATGAATTATTTATTATATTTTTTAATTTTTTAAAAAGGACACCCCTATAAAAAAAATTTGAATCCGCCACTGCATACAATCCAACTATATCACTATCGTACTAAGCCTAACCCATACCATCAACTAGCCGAATCAAGATTTAACATAGAAAGATCTGAAAAAGAGATCGAAGACAATTAATAATTTAAGAGCTAGCTAGGGGCAAAGCAATTCAGTTAAAGCTCAATGTAAAATCGCAGAGTATACTTACCAGGATCAGAGCTTTGAGATTGTCATCAGTAACAGGGACAACGAGATCCTCCCTTCTCTGAACCTTGAGCAGAACATCAACAAAATCCTCCTCTTCTTCTTCTTCTTCTTCTTGGTCATCACCACAATCCTTCCTCTTCATTAAATGCTCGCCTATGATCTCGTCACAAACTTCCTTCAGGTCCTCCAGATTTCTGGTCAGTCTCTTTTGGTACCCGGTGATCCAACTCGTGGCGCTTTCCCACCCCGGGAAGAAATCGTCCAAGCAAAACCCAGCCAGCAGCTCCTGCGTCTCCGTCAACACACCCACCAGCTCCTTCTTCTTCCCTTCCCCGGCGCCCGAAACGAACCTTCTGCCGAACGCCACCCTGCATAGAACGTCGTTGGCTAGCCCGAATAGCAGGCTGCTCACGTCGGTTTCCTTGCCGGAGCTCGCCGCCACGGCGGTTACCATCCTGTCCACTTCTTCCTTCCTCACCTGTACAGTACAGAAATGTAACAACACACATATCGTCGGTAATTTATCATGGTGCGGGTGGACTTTGACCTGCTGGAAGGAGTGGACTCGGCGGGGGCTGAGCAACTCGGTGACGCAAATCTTCCTGACCTGGCGCCAGTAGGGCCCGTACGGCGAGAACGTGACGTCTGAGCAGCCGAACGACAGGTACTGCGCCGCCACGAGTTGGGGCCGGTTGGCGAAAACGCCGTCGTTCACCCTGAGGACGTAGCGGGCGAGTTGAGCCGAGGAGACGACCACGGTGGGGACTCGGCCGAGTTGGAGCTTGATTACGGGGGATCCGAGTCCGGCGGCGAGTCGGGCGAGTTGGTGATGTGGGAGTTCTCCGGTGAGGAAGAGGAGGTGGAGGTGGCCGATGATGGGAAGACGGCCGGCCGGCGACGGCGGTTCGGGGGCCGGGGAGCTGGCGGGCGATGGCTTCTTGATGAAGTAGTAGATGGATATGAAGATGGTGGTGAGGGAAAGAAAGATGGTGATGAGAGTGTCCATGTTTTTTCTTTTCTTTTCTTTGTGTTGGAGATGGTGAGAAAATGACAAGGGAAAGTTGGGGGGTGGAAGTGAAATTGAGCTTTATTCGATCAAGAGGTTTACGTATATATATATCGTTGTGGACTTTTTGCACGGATGGAAGTAGAACATTGATGATGTATCCAAAACTTTTTTGGATGCATGTTACCAGAAATAATCGTATTTGTGGATATGCTCCCGAATCTAATATAGTGAAGGGGTAAAATTCAAACTCGTGAATTTTTAAGGGGTTTAGCTAAAATTTGATTTCGAATATTGTGGATAATAACTATGATTTTGATATTCTCTTCGATTCTTGTACGAGTATGGATAAAATTCAAATTATCTTAGATAGAATAATGGATTTCCTAAATTATGAGGGGCGCTCTCTCCTCTCTCATCGTATTATGCTCGGCGGTTATCCTAGCCCTGTTCGAGCTTTGCCAATCGGCCGGCGACGCCATTCACTCTTGCTTTTCAGCGATCTTCCTCTCTGCCCTAGATAACCAAGGGATTCAGGAAATTGGGGGGGGGGGGGGGGGGCTGATTCTCTGGTAAAAACAAAGGATGGACGGCCAATGACCTTACGATGGGGGAGATTGCTCGAATAGGAGACTTCCAGTACATCCCCTGGAAGGAGTTCGGTCGCGGTTAGACCCTTTAAGCGGCAACGAGACCACCGAAGTGCTCATCCCCATGATCAAGAAGAATCGTTGCCCAAACGGGAATGTCGTCCTAAGCGCTTGATGTGGCACTTTGTCTTGCCTTCGCCGGAGGATGTGGACGAGGAGTGGCTGAAGGTCCCTGATGGGTTGCCTAACCTTCGATAGCTTAGGGACTCTGTCCAGGTCATGGATCCCCTGATCAATACATCCCCCGGTGAACTTAGATCCCGCTTTGGGGCGAGTTCTAAACTTAGATCCCGGTGTGGGGCGAGTTCGTCTCAAATTTGTGTAGGGAATCGGATGCTGACTTCGCGTGTCCAAACCCGTCCCGTGGAGAGGCGGTGGTCGCTTCTGTTTTGCCAGCCAATCCCTCACCGGAATAGTTCGCCGAGGAAAAATCCGGATATCCAACTGAATCCTTTCGGTTTCGCGAATTCTTCGGTGATGGATAATAGACTTGGAGATTTTCCGTTGCGGCGTATCTGTCGGCGGGTAGAAATATCTAACAGACAATTATTTAATTTTAAAAATGCTAGTTTCCCACCCCAATTAGACTCCTCGTTGAAGTGGAGGATTGATGCTTGCTTGGCCTATTTAATGAGCCGCTCTGGTCCTTCTTCTCACCATCGGTTCTGTGAAAAGGAAGTCAGGAAAACCAGAGGCCGAGCTCTCAACCCCAAGCAAGAATCATATTCGGGTACGTGGAATTTTGTAGCTACGGAAATTGTGTTTGGGTTATGGATTAATGGCCTCCCTACCATGAAATTCAATTTCCTTTTCTCTAGCTACCCTTGGGTAGCTGTTAGTATTCCCCTCGTCGTTGAGGGCGCTTGTGATATTGGTGCTTCTTCTGTGTTTCAGTTGTTCACAATGGCGCACATCACAAGTGACCAGGTGGTGGAGTTTTCAATGGCAGAAGTCCACCCGATAGGGTTCGTAGGGCAAAGATGCTGCTCGGCCGAGTCTTCTCCGAGGATCGATTGACTATGAAGGAGCTGCGAGAGGCAGTGAATAACCCTTGGCAAGGCCAGGGCAGAATCAAATTGCGGGAGGTTGCACACAATCTGTACGAGTTCACACTCCCGAATGAAGCTGCGAAGAATTTGGTACTCCAACGTACTCCGTGGGTGATTAAGGATAGAATCCTTCACCTGCGTGCATGGGTACCAAATATTACTGCCCAAACCTTCAATGATCTGGCGATTGCTCCATTTCGAGTTCAATTGTGGGATGTGCAAGAAGACTGTTGCACCCAGCAATTCGGAAGAAAGGTTGCGAATTCCACCCTTGGCCGAGTTCTTGAAGCTGGCGTTTTTACTTGCATGGACACGACCACCAGCTTCATTAAGGTCAAGGCGCTTATTGATTTCTCCAAACCACTTCGTTCCCAAATTATGGAAAATAATGACGAGATGGGGTCATTCTGGATCCGCTTCAAATATGAACACCTCCCCAACTTATGCTACAATTGTGGCAGAGTGGGGCATTTTCGGCAGACGTGTAGCTTCGACCCTCCTACATGGAAAGAAAGGTTTGGTCCTCACATGATGACCAAAAAGATGGGCAGAAAAGTCTTTGATGAATTGGAGAACGATCAACGCCTACATGGTCAATCTAATTCGGTATGGGTGAATACCAATGTTCGGAACCAAAGTGGTGTGGAGATTAACACTGATCGGCATAAAGGCAGCATGATGCAGAAGGAACCCAATTCAGCCAAAATCCCACTTATGGAGGATAGTCCGAAATGGATGAGATCTTCGGATAATCCGTTCATCACTACGGAGACTCGTACCATCAATCAAGGAAGGAGTCCCCGTCATTTCCCGGTCTCTAAGGTGCCCAAAATCTCCATGGGGAGGCAGAGACGTCGCGGCAAGGGGAAGGGCATGTCCATGGGTAGCCCGATGGAGATTGATGACCGCCAGGACCCGACCCAAATGATGCATCGATGGAGGGATACCACTAAACCGCCGCGGGTGGCGGTGGGCGTTGCTCCTGCGGAGTCGAGGACGAATCGGGGAGAGGCTGCCTCCTGTCGGGTCAAGGACCCAGCTCCCGATTTGAAGCCCCAGATTGAGGTAAGGGAGATAACCCGCCGGAGAAGACTCATACTGGAAGAGGAGTCGAGGATGAATGTCTCTTCCAGGGAATTTCGCCTAACTGGCAGGAGGGCGCCCCACGGATTCCTGGTCAGACTGAAGGTGGCCATCCAGTGCTGTCAACAGTGGCTGCTCGCCAAAAGGAGAATGGAAGGAAGGGGAAAAGGTTGGGGAAGGAGGCGTTACCTATCCTTGCTCCCAAAGTGCAAAATGAGGCTGATCCTTCCTCGCGAGTGCTTAAGCCATCAGTGAGACCTCCCAAGACAAAGGTGAAGAATCGTACTGTCAAACCTGTTAAATTGTCGAAGGGTGATGCGAACGAGTACTCTTCGACTCGAGGGGAGGATTCACTAGCGGCTGTGGAGGTGGAGCTAGCATCACCTGGCGGGTCTGAGTTGCCGAATTTGGTACCCACTAAAGGTCACACCGACCCGAGGGAGTCGGACGAGCTAGTCTCGGACAGTGAGGGTCAAACCTTTGAAATTCGGCGCCGCTCACCTGTCATCAAGGGGAAACTAAGGCGTCTAGCCCATTCCTCTAAAGTTAGTCAGGTGGTGATGGATTTTGAGCAGGGACTGATAATGGGAGAGGATGAGGGGGTGGTAGGTGATGGGGAGCACAAGGCTAGTGAGGGTATGGCTGGGCATGTGCCGGGAGTGGATAATACTCAAGAAATCTCCCTTAATGAGTATGGGGCCAATTTGCTTGATCCAGATGTGGGAGTTATGAAACGTCAATTTGCGGAAATAGATGGGGGGATGGCGGATAACCCAACCCCAAAACGGCAATTCGTCGAGGAAAAAGATGGATCAGAAAAGGTGGAGGAAGCCAGCCTGGAGTGGCCCCAACCAGTTAAATGAGGCTTCTTGCCTGGAATGTGAGAGGAATTGGACCATCCCTCACATTCCAAACTGCTGTTGGTCTAGTGCGTTCTAATAAACCGGATCTCGTGTTTTTTTCAGAAACGCGATCGAGCCGCAAAGTTGTAGCCCGTCGTTTGCGAGGTTTGGGTTTTCTTTCTTCTAATTGTTTCTTTGTTGATGCTGTTGATGCATCGGGAGGGTGAGCAGTGGCTTGGTCCCCAAAGGTTTATGCCTCAGTGTTTTTCCATCAAACTTTTGTATTTTCACTCAGATTAATGAAGTTGATTTTTCTTATGTTGTGGTGTCGGTTTACATTAGCTGCGATGTGACCACTAGAGCCGTCCAATTGGCCCAATTGCAGGAAATTTGTAGTATGATCCAATTTCCCTATGTTGTCATTGGTGATTTCAATGCTACCCTTCATGAGGGGGGAAAAGATGGTGGGAATGCCTGGAATGCTGCTCAATCTCTTAGCCTGCGTGAGAGTATCCACGAGTTGGGCCTCCATGACCCAGGCTATCAGGGAGACCAATTCACTTGGACAAACAAGCGTATGGGGGCTGCTTGTATTCGTGAGAGACTGGATAGGGCGCTTTGCTCCCAGTCCTGGATTGACACTTTCCCTGAGACCCTGGTGAAACATTTCACGGACCAGGGTTCTGATCATCGCGCTCTTCTCCTCTCCGATAAGGATTATACTCGTAATTCCATACCACTTTTCCGTTTTAATGCCCGCTGGGCGGATAATCCGGAGGTCAGAGCCATGGTCAACTATATATGGCAGGTGAACATTGAAGGTACCCCCATGTTTCGACTATGGAAGCGTCTGAAACAATTACGCCATCTTCTCTATGATTGGAGTAGGGCAGGGACTACGAACTCCCTTCGTAACATTAAAACTCTTCAAGGGGAGATTGATCGTATCAAATCAATCCGCCCTATTGACTGGGAGTCAATTCGTAGCCTTGAGAAGGAACTCTCTCGCCAGTGGGAAGCTGAAGAAATTTATTGGCAACAAAAGTCAAGGGTCCGATGGCTACAAAAAGGTGATCAAAACTCCTCCTATTTTCACACGGTGACAAGAACTCGTTGGAAACGGAATTTTGTGGCCGGCTTGCACAATGAAGCTGGAGTGTGGGTAACGGAGGAAAAAAGAAAGGCCACTATTGCTACGGAGTTTTATCAAACTCTATTTACCTCGGAGACTCAAGTCCCTGATGTGGCGGAGAGGGTGGCGACTTTACCCATCTCTCGTAGCGTCACTCCTGAAATGAATGCTACTCTGACGGCAGAAGTCTTGCCAAGCGAAGTGCGAAAAACCGTCTTTATGATGGGATCGAAACAGGCTCCTGGTTCTGATGGTTTCACGAGAAAGTTCTTTAAGGCTTTCTGGGATGTGGTTGGTGACTCAGTAATTGAGGCAGTGTGCTCGTTCTTT